TCGGGGAGAGAACGGGAATTTCGGGGGGAAAAACGGGAATTTCGGGAAAAAACGGGAATTTCGGGAAAAAACGGGAATTTCGGGGGGAAAAACGGGAATTTCGGGAAAAAATGGGAATTTCGGGAAAAACGGGAATATTGGGAAAAATGAGAATATTGGGGGAAAAATGGGAATATCGGGGGGAAAATGGGAATATTGGGGGGAAAAATGGGAATATTGGGGGAAAAATGGGAATATTGGGGGAAAATGGGAATATTGGGGGAAATGGGAATATTGGGAAAATGGGAATATTGGGAAAATGGGAATATTGGGGGGAAAAATGGGAATATTGGGAAAATGGGAATATTGGGAAAAAATGGGAATATCGGGAAAAATGGAGGATTTGAAGGCTTTTGTTGCGTTTTTGGTGCAATTTTTGCCGTTGTTTTTCAGGGCGGATCGGGAATTATTTCCTTGAGTTTGGGGCTCGAGTTTTGCCAGGATTTTCACCAAAAACTCCGGGGTTCTTTCGTAACTTCCGGGCTCAATTTGAGATTTTTCCCAGTTTTTGGTGGAGGATTTGGTTGTTTGGCTCCGGTTTTTTTTTGAGTTTTAGGCTCATTTTTTCCGGAATTCTTTACGTTTCTTTTCAAGTTTTGGGGCCAATTCCCAGAAATTTGTTTGTTTGTTTTTCTAAGAGGGAAATCACTCCATATAAATATAAACCCCTCAGTAAATAAATGTGTGCAAGTATAACACAAAAACAGTGCAAAAACCATAAACGTTCTATAAATGTATAAAATAATGGAAAACTACACCAATGGAAATCCTTATGCATAGATAAATAAATGTATAAATGATTTTTTAAGCTTTAAATTCACTTTCACACCGTTTTTAACTCATTTTCACACTGTTTTAAACTCATTTTCTGTTTCTAACTCATTTTCACACCATTTTTAACTCATTTTCACAGTTTTTAACTCATTTTCACACCTTTTTAAACTCACTCTCACACCATTTTTAACTCATTCTCACACCATTTTTAACTCATTCTCACACCATTTTAACTCACTCTCACACAGTTTTTAACTCATTTTCACACCATTTTTAACTCACTTTCACACCATTTTAAACTCATTTTCACACCATTTTTAACTCATTTTCACAGTTTTTAACTCATTTTCACACCATTTTTAACTCACTTTCACACCATTTTAAACTCATTTTCACACCATTTTTAACTCATTTTCACA